AAATGAAAGCGCGAATCGCACACGCCACAACGGATAGATTTTTGTTTACCGTAAAACGGCTTATCGCAGAGCAGACAGTGTTCCTTACTGGCCATGCCTAAGCAGCGGTAGGCCTGTACACACAAAGAAACACTAGGCAGTCAAGCGGGCGGGAGCACAACCAAGACACGTCCGTTCAGCTCGAGCGCTCGAGCAATAATAATAATAATAATCAATTATTTGTTTACGTGCAACGCAGCGGCCTAACATACACTCAAAAAAAAAGAAGATAAAACAGGGCAACGTGTGACATTTAGACAATAATAATTCAATTTGTGCAATAACGTAAACATATTCGGTGAGGAGGAAACAGATACATACATTAATCTTGAATTTAATTAATATTTTAATAATAATGAAGTAAAAATTATGAAATACGATTAATAGAAACAGGTTTTGGCTCAACTTTTGTTGAGGAGGAGACACTGAAAAACGAGGTCCTGATTTACCAAGAAAAACTTGAAAACCAGCAGTTTCCAAAAGAGAAGGGCATGATTTATAGCTAAGGTAAGGCCGTGCCATAGCTCAAGCGGTTAGTCGCTGGCTTCCCAACGCGGCGGCCCGGGCTCGATCCCGGAGTCTGGTCAAGTGGGATTTGTGGTGGACAAAGTGGAGCTCGGGTAGGTTTTCTCCGAGTACTTCGGTTTCCCCTGCCAGTCTTCATTCCACCAAATTCCGCACAATAATTGACTTTTTAGTCTGCAGCCACCTGCACACGCTGGTTCCTCGCTCGCGGATTTTTATACCCTGAAGATGGAGGCGATACGTTCCTCTGAAACGTTGGTTTACACAAGATCTACACGGAGCCACATCCCTGAAGACAATGCCGTCTTCATAGTCACCGCCGTGAAAAAAATAAAATCTTTCATATACTCATATTTTCAAAGTAACTATGTTAATGAAACAAGTGTTGTACAGTTATCGCCAACAATGCGGCAATCCAACTCCATTTAATCTAGAAGTGTATTTTTTTATTGCTAGTGGGGTGGGACTAAGTCCCTTGTACTGCGGCCACTTCTGGCCTATTGTACCAGTCCCAAATGATAGGTGAGGGTGATTGTGGAGCAATTGGTGGAATGAAGATTGGCAGGGGAGACCCGAAGTACTCGGAAAAAACCTGCCCCAACGCCACTTTGTCCACCACAAATCCCACTTGACCAGACCCCGGGATCGAACCCGGGCCGCCGCGGTGGGAAGCCAGCGACTAACCGCTTGAGCTATGGCCCGGCCTAATCTAGAAATGTAACTGTACTATAAAAGTATGCAAATTATATTCCCTGCCACATGGACGCCGCCTCACGTGTGTCCAACTTACGTTCATAAATAGGATCTTTCACGCACCACCCACCCATGGAAGTCAAGGAGACACTGAGGTCCGGTGATCGCGGTAGCCAATTCCGCGGAATTGAAACCAGCGAAGCGCTGATGCAAACGCTGCGCCGACCATCGTGCCAGAGAAGTCCGTTGTGCTGTACGGACATTCTCCAACAGGCCTGTCAGCTCAGGTACCCAAGTCCCGTATAAACTGCACTCCAGCCGTCCCTCCAAAAATAATAATCCAATAAGCTGACCGTCAATTACACCGTACGAGAAGTTCGCGTAAAATTTATACAAGACATCCGGTATCATCGTAGCAAGTGGCACATTCAACCATAAATGTTTCTTGTAATGTTTACCCCATCACGAATAAACTGGGTCTAATCAGTGATAAGATTTACCGATGAAAGTGCGTGAATGCGACTAATCTGTGGCAGTAATCCAACAGCCTACACAAGTTTGAAGCTCCGAGGCAATAATTTACTGGGAATGGTATTATACCGATAGGCCTTCGAAGTTTATCGACGGCTACCCTTTTGTGCGCGGAACACTGAGGCGAGCGGCAATTTGTCGGTTTCTGATTCGTGGATTGCGATGCAACATTAAACTAATGCTCTCCTCGTCAACCACGCTTCAGCTCACAACGCGTTTGCCTAGTCACAGCATACTGGAAAACTATCCCTTCCTAGCAATTGTCCATTGCCAGTATAACACACGCCTATCGGGGATTCATTACCTCGGGAATTATATTCGACTTCGAACACCAGCAGCAAGTGTATTTCCCGTTACAATATCCACAGAAAAATGTCTGTATGCGTAAGATAAAGTTGACCATGTGCTTAATTAAGCACTACACCATTAAGGTGCATGAGGGAGTGGGTATGGAAATCCGCATTTTCTTGGCCTGGCAACTAGTTGGAGATTAGTGGTCAGCTTCACGCCCCGGCCGCTTTACGTCCGGTACCCATTCGACAGGAGGCTGGGTGAGCCCCAGAGCTGGTCTGGATGACGTGGAAAAAATCTTGAGTCTACCGGGACTCGAAATCCGACCTCTCGGTCGTCCAGCCTATAGCCAGTCTATACAGACTCCCATGTATGCGTACTTTTCGTTACTAAATGTAAACTGAACGTCGTCCAATGCGTTACGAAACACGTGTAATTGTAATGTACGACCCAACAGCTACGTTACTGTAGTGATAAGCTGAACGTAAATTTCAATGCGCGATTGTGCTGTAACAGCTCTCATGGAGCTGAGCCCTTCTTGGGATGACGAGAACTGTGCAACTACTCAAGAACTCCCTAGTATTTTATGGAACTCGAAGGTTCATTACCGTGTTCATAAGATCCCTCAACTGGTCCCTATCCTGAGCCCGATCAATCCAATCCACACCATCCCATCCTATCTCTCCAAGATCCATTTTAATATTTTCCACCCACCTACGTCTTTGGTATTCCCAGTGGTCTCTTTCCTTCTGACTTTCCCACCAATATCCTATGTGCATTCCTCTTCTCCCCATTCGTATTACATGCCTTGCCCATCCCACCCTTCTTGACTTATCATTCTAATTATATTTGGAGAAGAGGACAAGTTATGAAACTCCGCATTGTGGAGTTCTCTCCAGCCTCCTGTCACTTCATCTCTCTTCGGTCGAAATATCCTCAACATCCTGTTCTCAAACACCTTCAGTCTATGTTCTTCCCTTTATGTCAGAGACCAAGTTTCACACCCATACAGAACCACAGGCAAAAGGTTCTGGACTGAATGGTATCAAGCATTGCGCGTGTTCAATTTCCTCCTGAATCAAGTTTTGATTTTTTACAGCCGTTCCCAAATACCTGAACTGCGTCACATTTTCAAAACATGTTACCTATCTTAATGTCATTTTCCCCAGCATTTTGGTGATGAGACTGCAGCATATACTTAGTTTTCTGTGTCTACTATTCATAGCTATGGTAATAAAATATTTTTAACCCTGAATGACCTCAGAAATAGCCCCCCAAATTATGATAAATTTGTCAAACATTCTGTACAGACTAGTAAGCTCTAACCACTGGAAGTGAAGGCAGAATCATGACAGGGTTATAATCACAATTCATCCAGTATTACTTGTTATAGTCAATTAGTATTTGCAATTGCACAAATAATTGGAGTTTTTTAGTCACTGAAGCATAACTGTCAGTATGATTATTTCTACTATCACTGTTCTACCAGGCCTGCCTGCCCACAAGCTATTAACTGCTCACATACAAGTACAAATACTGTTAAATAACCTTGTTCGATTACAAACTAGAACATTGCAGGTTGGAGTCCCAATGAGGTCGATTTTTTTTTTCAAATTACTTAATCCTTCCATCTGCACTATGGCCCTGGGGTCAACTGAACATCTCACAGAAATGATTACTAGGAATCTTCCTGGGGAATAAATAGCAGCCAGTGCTTAAGTCTGAAAACCTTACAGCCTTGTATGAGCCGATTGTCTAGACAAAATGTGGGAGCCTTGATGGCCTTCACGACCTGTTACATGGGTAGCTTTCTTTTTGCAACCTTTCTCGATCACCACTCCCAACATGTTCTGAATGCCATACTTATCATACTAATTACATTTATGGTTGCTATATCTTACATTGCCGGTCACGGTAGCCGAGCAGTCTAAGGCATGCACTGTCTTCGCTCGCTTGGAAGCCGGGATCGTGGGTTCGAATCCCACTCAGGGCAGGGATGTTTGTGTGCGTTTTTCTGTTTGTCTACAGGTAGAGGCCTTGCGACGAGCTGATCACTCGCCCAAGGAGTCCTACCGTCTGTGCAAGATCTAGAAAAACCAAAGTGAATGGAAGTTCATGGAGGTTGGCCTAGGCCCAGTGGGGCTGTAGTGCCAAGGGGAAAAAAATATCTTACATTAGGATGTAATTTTCTACCTTGCTAATCACACTGAATTTGTTCCTGAAATTATGGGAGCATATGGGTGTAATACAAAAAATTAAGAAACTTAGAACCTGAACAGTTCCTATGCTTATTTATTCATAGTGCAAAGCAACAGCAGAAAAGGGATGGATGGAGAACCAGCTCAAATAATTCCTTTTTATGGGTAGGTATCAGATGGAGGTAAACTTCACACTCGAACCGTTCTACCTCAGTACCCACTGCATAGCATTCACAATGTATACATATCTAATCAAATACAGACAAAAACATGTACTCAATTCTTAAACATACTGTATACTTTGCTGTGAGGTTCCAATAAAACTGGTCTGAACATTTTCTGCTATATCACACAATATTGGTGACTTTCTGCCAGCATGTCTGTCTCTCATTAAAGCTGTCCACAGATTAAAAACAGAGCAATCATTTTGGGGCATGAACTGGTAGTTTCTAGAATTTCACAAGAGAGAACTGCTGGCTCATCCTATGCAATGTGATAGCCTAACCAAGACACCCACTGAAACCTGAAACTTGTTTAAAAAATATCCTACCATACATATTATACTGCATCTCCACTTCAAAGAACAAGTATTTATGAAATAATTTTCATAGGGAACACCTAAATAGAGCATGAACAGAATTCAGACTTTAGATACTAAAAGCTGGTGGTTTAGACACCTCCCCCTTTCTCTGGACAACTCTTTTTCTTCTTCAGAATCCTCTTCCAAAAGAACTAAAGTATTAAAGGAAACAGGAACTACAAATAATTCAGATGAAACTAATTTATAAGACAGTTACCTAAGACCTCTATTCAAAACTGATCTAGCATTCTCACCTGTGAGAGGTGCCCTATCAAGAAAAGCCTCATATATCCTATGTGATGGTGAGGTTTATGGAGTCAAGTGACTATGATGAAGCCCCAATACGCAAAGTACTGTAGTTCCTTTAAAGTGCGTTAACTGCCAGAGGGCTGATCTTAAAAATGGGAAACACAACTGATCACATGATTGCAGTGCAAGGGTTACATGTACAGTAGTCACACAAGGGAACGATGCAGCATATGATGTACAAAATGAAAAATGCAAAGGTAAACAGAAGTGTAGGGTATGACATCAAAGGCCCTGGTAACACTCAGTTGATGAAAAAAACATGCCAATAATTTTCACTAATTTATTGATTTTTTTCTACAAGTTTTTAATATCACAGATACAGTGCTTTCAGTAATTAAGCACCATATTATGTTCAATGTTCCATGTTTTACCAGTAATGTTAAGTTTAAAAAAAAAAAGGGTGTGGAACAAAAATTAAAAACATAATAAAGCACTTGTTTGGAAGATGATGGCGAGTGACCCAAACTAATCTTCAAAACAACAAGATGCAAAAATTAATTCTTGATACTATATTTTCCCCATTCTGCAAAAAAAACAAAACTGGGAGATAATGAATTTGCTACAGTTTAAATGTATTATCATCATTCAAGATTTCAAAGGGTCTATATTTCAGTCCATACTCTGAACTGTTTTATAATCACCCCCATAACATTTCATATTCTTGAATGAGGAAAGAAAAATCCTTATGCTTGACAGCAGCAAAAACTGCTAAATCCCATGGCAACATCTTTCAATATTTTGAAGAATTTTCGTTTTAACATACAAGAGATTTTACTCTCTCAAAAAAGCACCCAATCTTAACTTACTAAATAAACATTTAAGATATTCACCTAGCACACAGATGATCATCTTTGAACTTTCAAAGAGCATGTATCTCCCATTCATCAGAATTAGTTAAGATCATTACCATCATTCTTAAAAACATACTCAACTTATGGTTTCTCTCTCTCATAGCTTGGTTCCATGAGGTCTGAAACACTGGGAATAACACCTGTTTCAACTTTCTTAACATTATGGCTGCTCCAATCATGTCAAGATTGGTCTAATTTGATGGAATGTCTCGTCATATAACAATAACGTGACATGTTTACAAAGAATACACACACAGTTGTAATATTTCTCAAACAAATGCCATAGGCCATCACCAATAACTCTCCAAAAATGACTTCTGAAAGCATTTCTTTTTGCATTGCTTAAACGGTTAATGGAAATCTGATGCTGCAAGTGTCAATTATGCAGTTTTCTGTGAAAACTTTAAGTATTATGGCTAATGATGCTCAGATAACTTCTTAATTTCTGTCTTCAGTAGTATATACTTTACTTTGCTTGCAGACATCAGATTGTCAACACTTTGAAGTGTACTATGAAAATACACCTTCCAATCTCTGGCATTAAATTCAGCTGTTACCATTCCTGATATGTCTATTTTGAAACTGTATATCACTTCCCACTGGCATTTCAGTCAGAAAGAAAACTGGTACCTCGTTAAACCTTAGGAGGCTCCAAATTTGGATACAAAGCAATGTATAGCCAGCACATTCCACAACACTAAGTTGTCTAAAGCGCTCTCATTATTCAACTTTAATGCTTTCTTTGATGAAAAAAGATTCATACGTCCTCACATACTTTCGGATTTTCACTCTCACTGCGTCGTGTCATACCATACACATATATATATCTATATATATACATTTATACACGCACACTTACTCGCTTCAGCACACAAACTTACATTTGTACCTGAAGGAGGGAAAAAACGATGTGCATTTTTTATACACAGCATCACACAAGTTCTCATTCTGGCATATTTTATGCCAATGTCCTTGGAAACTGAAAAGCAATAAGTCTTGATAAGGAAACACATAATATTCCACGATTCAGTTTAATTTTAACTTCGATCATATCAAGAGACTGAATGCCATGAACTGTCCAAAACATGTTGTTTTTTTGGAATCATTGTTAGACTAGACAGGCTAAAACAAGAAAACTGTACATACATACAATCAAACATACATTAACACATTACAAAAGAAATAACTGCAAAAATCGAGCAATGAATCTGTATTGAAGTTATATTCAACTTCCACAGTTAGGTGTTCTGGTTTACATGTAACATTTCATGACCTCTGGTAATGGTATTCAAGCTTGTATACTTACATAAATGTTTCTAGCATAATTTATTACACACAAATGATTATGATTGCAGTGGCAGTAGGAATCCCATAACAAATGCAATGGATGACAGAAATGTAATACAGAAAAATAATTTATTAAGGCAGATCGTATCAAATCATCACTCTTGGTTTTCATGAAGTAACTTGAAATATCTTTAAAATGACAACAGGATATGAACTTACAGAATAATACAACAGAGACCAGAAGCAACTTTCAACATAATTCCATGTTATAAAACTGAAAGAAGTATAACCTATACAATGTTAATGAGGCAATATCATACACTCCACAAGTATTAGGACATGCCTACTTCATTTGTCAGACTTATTACAAGCAACATTGGCCATTTCTCACTAGCACGTTTCCATACTAACATCTTGGCATATGTAAAATGCAGGCTCTTCAAGATAGTTACCACACTATGCCATAAAAACCTCTAAAATGAAATTCTACGTGCATACATTAGATAATATACGGCCTATTCGTTAAAGGGTCCTTCACAGCCAACGCATACTGCAATTTCACTAGCTGATGTTTTGCCCCTTCAAAGTTTGAAAACCAATACACTATCATGGCAAACATAATGCTCAAGTCCCTATCTTAATCACCCTTATGATCAGAGAACAAGGGGAAAATGTATATTATATAGCCCTGAGTAGTTATACAGCTTTAATATTATTTACATCATTCATTTAAAAAAATACAAAATACCGTATTTACACACCTATAACAAGGGGAGAACAACACTTTGTCATTTAAATTGAGGAAGGGATTCTCATTGTGAACATATCCTACTTAGCAGCAGAAATATCTCCTTGGAAATTATCTGAGTGACATCTGGAAACCCTACAGCAAACCCCCCCCCAACCTACACTGATGAAAAAAAAATAACCACCGCCATACTTGAAATGTAAAACACAAAAAGCAATTTATGCCATCACATAAATTGTATGGACTCAAAAATATTTTAAAAGTGGCTATACAAAAATTATTCAACAGTCTTCTATATGTACTTTCCCCTTCCATTACTATGAGTCATACTCTTGCTGGTGCTGGTAAATACGGTATTTTAAGCATGCTCTGCTTACAGTCCATGTCCAAATCTGAGACTGGATCATGTATCCCACAAGACAAACTGCATGAAACACAAAATTATCACTACTTCCACTTTCACTACAACTGACAAGACCAATACAGTTAAACTGCTTTGAAAATATAACCGCTTGATGGTACAAAAGACTTGACTTAATGTTCTTGAGGAGGGAAGCTATTACACTTTTTCAAATGTGACAGTTTCATCATCATAAGAAAATTACTTCAACATTTTCTCTTAAGAAAAAAGCAGAATGGTACTGATGCAACTGTTCGCTGTTTACTAAAATCAGAAATGGGAGGAGCTAACGGCTTCAATCGATGTGATCTTGGAAGCAAACACTCAGCACCAAATTTTGCAGATAAAACAAGATTTGATAAACTGGGTGGTATTAATACCATACTGAAAGTGCAAGAATTTTACTGACAAAAAAACCGACATACATCATGCACTACAAAGTGATTCAAATACTGAACTGTAGTTTCCAGTACTACTCAGTCTTTCTCTCAGTTCTTTTTTCACTTAACAAATCACGGAGGATCTCTATGGGCAACAGAAATAATAAGCGACCAGACCGACTCACCTGTGCTCAAATAGCATACCAACTGCCTTTTTAAAAAGCTTATCTTACTCAGAAACACACTGAGATACCTCTAAAACGTCAGTCTGGCACTTATGTTCAATAGTACTTTGCAATAAAAAAACATGAATTGTGAAAAAAAATTATAATTAATAAATCAGGTACACATGCTGGCCGAAGTTCAATTCTTGGTTCAGCCACTAGGAGATGCCACCACAACTATAGGCGCTGGAGTAGATGTGGGCGAGGAAGCAACAAGAAGAAGATTTGCTATCTTTTTACCTTCTGTGGTTGTGGTAGCAGATGCTGCAGAGTTGATTTTATTGGCGGCATTGGTTGTGATGTGGCTGTCCGGCAGATCTTTATCCTCCACTTTTAACAACTCATTGCTGTCATACTTCTTGGTGAAGCTTTGAGCTTTGCGGCGTTGGATCAACTTTGATTCACTTGGAGGAGACAGACCAAATATAGTGTTACCACAACCAGCTCCATTACTTAAATCTGGTTCCTGGACAGCAGAGGACTTGATCAATGATGGCGTCTGCATACTGCCTAGCTCAAGGTTCATGCTGAAGTGCTGCAGCACAACACGATTCACAGCCATTGCACTTTCTGCAAATGCTGACAGCTCACGGGCACTGTTGTTCCTGGGGGCAAGAAAGCAAGCTGAAACTCTTTTTATCAATGTAACACCGGTTCTCACACAACACTGTGACAAGAAGCTGAAATACACAGTAACCCTTTGATGGAAGACACAATTTCAGTGTACCCTGACCTTTGTATCCAGTTAATTTAATCATCTTTACATGGTACATTTTGGTATATGAGAGGATTCCCACCCCTCCCGATTTTTTTTGTAAACCAAGAGTGTTAGGTGCAGTGAAGGGTGAGCCATACAGTCAAGTTTCATGGCCTTCCTTATCATCTGACTGCAAGAAGCAGGAGGCTAACTATGTTCAAACCATGTCACTGGTGTCCACTGCAAACCCTTTACCTGAAACTGTCAAACTCGGTAATACTTAGATACATTTCTGTGACACCATGTCTCCACTGATATTACCCAATTTTTACGTGAATGTGACTGCTACAGCATGTAAGTACCATCTGTAGAAGCTTACAATACAGCCTATTATATGTGTATTTAACAGCAACTTCAGAAAGGAAAGACATTACTGAGGAGTCATGAAAACCACTCATCACCTCCCAGAAATAATGCAGAATGCCAACCTCACAGGCATCATGATGGGGTTCTCCAGGCCATGGCATCATACTCCTAGTCTTCCCTGGCTGCAGTGTCAACAGCTTACTCCCTTCCCTTAGTTAATTCTGCTCCATTCTGCTCCCCTATCTCCACCCTGTCTCTTCCCAGGACGTAATGGCTTCTCTCAACATAAATCTTTCACATACAAAACGCCCCCCCCGTAAGGGCCTGACCAAGGTTATCAATTCCATTTTTCCCAATGCTCCCTCCCAACCATTTTACAGGCAATGGCCACTCTTCCGCTGGATCTCTCTGTTCCTTTGAAGCTCAGACTTGCCTCTACGAGGCCTGATTTTCCACAAGTGGTTCACTCTGCTTGCCTTCTGTTTCATCTTGGCTTCTTCAGATCTTTGAAATATGTAGACATTATTCACATCTTAAAATGCTTACAACTTTCTGAAACTGGCTCCAGCTGCCACGGGAACTCGAGCCCTAGCACTCCCACAGAGTAACAACAAACAGTACCGCATAATATTACTTTACAAATGGTTCTCATGTTTTACTTCAGTCCTGTTCCAGTAACAGCCTCTGCATAATTTTGGGTCATTATTACTAGTCTTCTTATTATCTGAAGAGAATGTAAGACAGCTCCCGAAGGTACAACAGATCACTGTGGTCATGGTGCAAGGGCCAAGAAGGCCCATCCCTAATACATTCATTCATACAAGACAGCCACCATCATCAGACAATAAGAGATGGAGCTGACATCTTGATTCTCCTCACTGCACTAATGATATGACCCTCGTTCAACCTTCTCCTCTTTAAACTTCAGTATTATTTTCTTGTACAAGAAATGGGCGTTTACAAATGCTGACCCAAGAATCTATTTCACTGGAAGGTTCCTGTACCGCTTAAAACTTCACTGGATACTAGTCTTGTTGGGTCTGCCAGATCAATTTATGACCCCTACTTCCCCTCCCCCCAAACTGATCAACTACTGCGACATTCTGAACAATCTTATTGTTTTCTGATCTCAATAACCTCATTCATACTGTGACATGAAGGCTAAGGCTGGAATTGGGGCATCAGAAAAGAAGACTGTTGCTGGTTAATGTGACGTCTTCTATGTCGTCTAACCCAAGGCTATGTAAGGAAGACCACTGGAGCAATGAGAGATGTGAGCTGTCTGCTATAACCTAGCAATGCCTGGTAAAGGTTAACTGAGTAAATGGTGAAGACTCAGAAAGCTGAGGAGACAGCATGTGCAGTATAAGTGTGTATATTAGTATAAGTATCTGTAGCTACAAATTATAAAGAGTCCAATAAATCTAATTAGCAATCTATATCCTAACACATGACAATATTTTGTGCTGATGACAGGGCACCTCCCATTTATCATGCAACCTGGTGATATAATTTTCCTTATTTCAGCTTTCTTCAAGTTTGTGCTTAAGACCTGTTGTTTACCTTCTCTGTCAGATCACATTGCTTTAGGAAATGAGTGTTATGATCTGGTATTTCACTGGTGCAGTAAAATTCTGTTATAACTGACCCTCCACAACCCAGCAATGCCTGCGACACTTCATTACAAATTTAGTGGGAAGAGACATTCTACCAGCTGCTTCTTCTTACCCTCAAATGCAAAATTCCTCGAGTATCCTTTCCCATGCAGAGCATGAATAACTTGTACCATATTTGTGGGCCTTCATTGATATACATTCGGTAAGAAGGATGCCAGAAAAAGTAATGTAAATAAGTGACTGCATTTTGTTAAGCCTGTAACTCGAGAGCTGAAGTGCACTCTGCTTACTGGTAAAATGTGTATACATATCACTGCTCACAGTTGTCTGTGTGACTATAATGTGACAGCCTACCTCCTAATGATGTGAGGAGTAACCAGAGATCGGGCTGCCAGGTTAGATCTGGATGAGTCTGCAGACATCCAGGGGTGAGTTAGCACACACTCTGCAGACAGACGGCGGCTCGCTTCCTTCACAAGCAATGAGCGTATTAAGTCCTTGGCTTCTTCCGAGATATCTGCCCATTCACGCTCAGGAAAATCGTAACAACCTTCTTGGATACTTGTAAACAGCAGTTCCTATTGAAAAACGAACATGAATGTTTAGAGCATTTCATTTATCACCACCAGCCACAAATATATCACTGTGATACAGAAACTATTAATTTCTTTCCCCAATCTATGTGAACATATTGTGACGCGTTGCGCAATGGAGGACGCCCCCTCCCTCCCCGGCAGTGACGTGGTGGGTGAGTCAGCCCCCCCCCCCCTACGTAGAACCGCTTCCTACTGTGACGAGGCACGCAACGCCACTGTTGACATGGGCAACAGCAAACAGAATAAAAAGCTGGCTGAGCAGTAAGCGAGAGTTAGTGTGTGAGCCGGAGCAACACAGTTGGAATCTAGCAGCAGTCGCGGAAAGAAGAACCGGACGTGTGTGACAAACAGTGATAGTTTGTGATAACTGAGAAGTAATGGGGAGTGTGTAACACAGTGACACTTATATAGCTCCCATACTGTGAATACATGTAGACTACTGAAGATAGAGTGAACAGATTATTGCGAACAGGGTTATAAAGCGTGAAACCCTGCAACAGTGTTATAATCAATTGTAGTTACGACTTGTAGGTTGTTAAATAAACCAATTAACAATCCGAACAGCGTCTTCAGCCGCAAAACATGTTACAATATATTAATTTCTATATTCGCTAGTTACATATTGTAACGTGTTTAGCCACTGAAACGCCGTTCAGATTGTTAATTGGTTTATTCAACAACCTACAAGTAACAGCTACAATTAATTATGACAATGTTGCGGGGTTTCACAATTTATAACCCTATTCGCAAATCAAATCACTCTATTGTCAGTAGTCTACAAGTTTTCACAGTACGCGAGCCATACAAGTGTCACTGTGTTACACACTCCCAATTAATTCTGTTGCCACAAACTGTCACTGATTATCACACACTAACTCGTAACTCGCCGCTGGCTAGATTCCAACACAACTCATAGGTAGCTGCCTTCAGAACTGTCTTTGGCGGTTGTGTAGTTCCCTTATAAACCCTCAGCAGGGTAACGAGAAAACAGCCACGTAATAGGCACCACTGTTGCTACTGTCGTCTCTCGCAACCACTGCTTATCCGCATTGCATAGCGACCGGGGCTCAGCTCACTTTAGCTCCGCTCGGCATGTCAGCGCTGGCGGGGGGAGGGGAGGGAGGATGTTGACCTGCCTATTACCGTTGCGCAACATGTCACACCGCTCCCTCCTTAAGGCTGTTCGTTTCTGATCCCTATGAAGAAACTGAATCTCCCCTAAGCTCCAAAGTTTCCACAATGAACTTCAATTACCTGACATGCTTGACAGTTTTCACCTCTCTCCCAACCACAGTCAGACCCACAGCTGCCGTAGAAAGGTGGGTAGCCACACAGCAAGATATACATTATCACTCCGAGGGACCAGAGATCACACCGCTTATCATATGAATTAGATTCGCCAATAAAAGCCTCTACGACTTCAGGGGCCATGAACTCCGCACTTCCAACCTGAAATCAATAAAACATCAGTACACATACTGCTGTACAACTCAAAGCCTATTTGTTACCACAAACACATAATTTGCATAATACAATGGATTGTTAAGACTAGTTGTCATTCTGTTTCACATCTGAAGGTTCATATTTCATGTTTTGGCACTTAGTTGTGACCCCCCCCCCCCCAATCAGATAGCACTGGCAATCTACAGATGTGGACATTCTGTAGTATCATATCAACTTACTGGGGTGAGTAGCTGTGGTGTAGAGAGGGGAGAAGCCAGGTTTGAATTGAACTTGATTCCTGAGCTCAGGTCAAAGTCACATATTTTCACTGGACTCAGCTTGTCTGGATAAACACAAAGGATATTCTCTGGCTTCAGATCCCTGTGAGCAATACCTGTAACAACGAAAAACCATACAAATGAACAATGAACTTCAAAAGACAGGAGAAGGAAGGTAAATCAAGAGCTTTCATGTCATCAATCTGCAATATATGATTTATTTATGCTTGAAGTTTAATCTGCTGTTATCTTCAGTTTAGGATTAATGCCAATTCATTCTATAAAGAAATTTACCAGTTCTCTGCAATACTGTAATCCATAAATGGCATAATGTTTGTTTAGGGGACCCTGAAAACCAACCCAGGAAGCATTACATGACATCTTTAAAATGACAAGAACTCACCCTTAACATGAAGGAACTGGAGTGCACTGGCAAGATCCCTGATGATCTGACTTGCTTCTCGCTCAGTGAAGTGAACGCGTTCCTGGATGCGGGTAAGGAGAGGACCACCATTCACTTTTTCAAACACAAGGTAGAACCTTAAACAAGACAAAGAAATGTTTAGAACACAAGATCTCCCACTCGTCACACGTGAGAAAACCAGACTTCAAGCTTGTTACTTTGTTGATCAAGAATGGTCATGAATTCAGTGGCAACACTGCTAATAATCTGGGCAGAGTGGGGGAAAGAAGCAAAGGTTGGCCAGACCATCTATGTGGCATGCACCACTAAATATGGCCAACAAAGTAGGCGGTATGAAAAATAACAGTTCTATATTACTGCTCCCACATCATTTATAGCTCAATGACCAATAATATATGGATCTAAAAACTGCTGCTCTGCATTCAGAAGTACCAGGTTTAAATCTTGATCCCAACAAGGTACCGGGTATGAGATTTTGTGGTTTTCCAGCAATATGTGATAGAACCTCATGGCACAGACATATAACAATTGTTAGGCTAAACAGCAATAAATATTATGTTAAAAATCTTTATAAAACAGACTGTAAGTGCATATCAAAATCACAAAACAATAAAACTGCTCAAGCTTGAAATTAAAAAAAAGATATCAACTACGTAAAACTGATCCCTTGCCACGGACAGGACTGATTTAAAGATGTTAGGCGTGACTCGCTGAAATATTAGCTGAAGAAAGAATTCTGACTGGGTCTATACACCTTGCCCCCCCCCCCCACCCGCCCGCCAAATGCTTACAACAATTTTGAAAAGTGGACATGAATTCTGATTAGTATGACATATCTAGTAAGTGCATCCTAGAAACGTGTCATATTATACACAGGTGACATACAGCTCTTAAAGAATGTCCACCCATGTTCATGACTTTAGGTTCAAAGAAATTGGATCCATGAAGGAACTAAAAAGAGCTATTCTGAAAGATGCCCTTGCTTGCATTTCTCTGCTACACTGGCTGAGACAATATGCCAAAAACATCTGATTCAACTACAACAGGAACCAGACCTGGCCATATCCAGGTATCTTATAACCAAGCAAATATGTGGGGCAATCCAAAAGTTACGGAAATTTGAATTTTGTACGCGAATGGTTATGAATACATCGAAATACCGCTAGGTGTCTCCTCACACATCCTTCTCGAATCAGTGTGGTAAGTGGCGTCGAGTTGAGTGGTTGGGTTTATTGTTGGTGAACGTATTTCCATTGTTGTGTTTCCGTGAGTTTGCGGTTTTGCGATGGCTGACCTGAGAGAGCAGCGTGTCTGTATAAAGTTTTGTTTCAAACTTCAGAAAACCACTGCAGAAACACACCAAATGTTGAAGCAAGCTTTTGGCGAAAACAGTTTAGGCCAGACACAAACTTATGACTGGTATAAGCGTTTTAAAAATGGCCGAACACTGACTGATGATGACGATTGTTTGGGACGGCCGTCAACTGGCACCACACCAGAAAATGCGCGAAAGTTAGGGATCTAATTCTGCAAGATCGTACACTGACCCTCCAAGACCTCTGTAACACCTTGGGACTAAGTTATGGTACATGTCAACGAATTTTGTCAGAGGAACTGAACATGAGGAGGATTACAGCAAAGTTTGTGCCATGACTGCTGCAAAATGAACAAAAGCAGCATCGCTTGGAAGTCTGCAGGGAACTTCAGCAACAGTTTCAAGAGGATCCAAACTTTCTTTTGAAGGTTGTCACTGGTGACGAAAGTTGGGTTTATGACTATGACCCTGAAAGCAAGCAGCAATTGTCGCAATGGAAGAGCCCTTCTTCACCTCGGCCAAAAAAAGCTCGACAAGTCAAGAGCAACATTAAGTCCATGTTGATCTGTTTTTTTTTATGTCAGGATTGTTCATAAGGAGTTAGTCCCTCCTGGTCAGTCAATAAAGAGTTCTATCGCGACGTTCTAAGGCGTTTGAGGGAGAACATGAGGAGAAAACGTCCAGAGAAGTGGAGCACGAACGACTGGGTACTCCACCATGACAATGCATGACTGCATACGGCTTACATTGTGCAGGAATTTTTGGCTAAAAACAAGATGGCAGTTGTTCCCCACCCACCGTACTCGCCAGACTTAGCTCCATGCGACTTCTTTCTCTTCCCCAAGATGAAAATCAAGTTGAAGGGGTGAAGATTTGATACAGCTGAGGAAATTCAAGCGGAAAAGCAGACGATACTAAACTCCCTAACAAAGAAAGACTTCCAGGATGCATTTGAAAAGTGGCAGAAACGCTGGGATCGGTGTATGCGCTCCCAAGGGGACTACTTTGAAGGTGATGGCACAGAATAAGATCTAGGTCAGATGTAATAGTTTTTATTAATATATTTTGGGAACTTTTGGATTGCACCACGTATACTAGTGCCTATCCAGGGTTCGAAACAGGACTGCAATGCCACAAACATAATTTACCTTTCTTCATCTTCGAAAAACTCTATGAGTTGAATGATGTTAGGATGGCCTTGACAATGGTGAAAGGTCTCCACCTCTTTGAACACTCGGCTGCGACTATGTCCTGGAATCTTGTCGATAATTTTAACAGCATACTCCAAGTCTGTCCAGATATTAACACAGGTCTGAACAGATGCATATGCCCCTTCTCCAAGCACCTCACCAGTCAACCTGTAGAGCTCTGAAACCAATAAGGTAACAAATTATTTCCAACACTTGATGCATGGGCATCTAGCTTATTACTTCAGGTATGGACAAAGGGCAGCACTGTAGGAACGGTGTGTCTATCGCCGCTGCACCCTGAAGGTGGTGTTGGAGGGATTCATTTACTCAGAAACCATTTATTCCTGGAAGAGTACTGAAGCTAAACATCCTTCTCATTCATTCTGATGCATATCTTCAATCACTGCACAGATTCACTTGCGACAGATTCATCTGCATGCGTTGATAAGAATAACTACAGATCAACAGTAAAATCTGAACTTATCTTTGAGGAAATGAGGGACATTATCTCTAGAAAGGTAATAGATCTCCCCTAAGTACTATTCCATTTTAACTGTTAGGTGTGGAATTAAAAATGTAACTGAAATCACTTCTTTCAAATTTACTTATATTTCAATCCACTGAGACAGCAGAAGGTAAGGTTCTGGGGCTTAATTAATTAAGCACCACGCCATGAAGATGTATGTGGGAGTTGGAGGAGAGCTGCACCATTCTTGACCTCGGTGCTAGATGGCGGTGTGATCAGTTTCACACCCTAGCCACTTTACTACTGGGGAAAGAGCCACCAGTACCCACTGTACAGAGGGCTATGTGGGTCCCAGAGCTGGTATGGACATTGTGAAGATACATCTTGCCTGTGCCAGGAATCAAATCCCGGTTGTCCAGCCCGTAAACCACAGTTTTCATAAAACTGACTATTCCTGGATTTTTCCCTGTAAACTACTAAGTATTTAATGGAACGTACATCAAAATAAAACTCGACTTTAAGCAACAACTTCTCTATTGGAAGTTATAAGAATGTTCATGGAATAAAAATTCAAGCAAGTTCATATATGAAGACTTGATCCGATGACACTTGACGAACAAAACCCAACAGGGACGAAAGTGTCTACATTTGAAGTATACATACTTTCCAAGCACATTCTCTGTGATTTCGCATAACTGTACTGATATTTAAATTTTCATTTTATGCCATTTATATCAAGGGTGAAAACAAAAAAGGGTAAACATTCAATCTGAGATTCTTGTTAAGTGGAGCTTGGGCACCATAGCTCAAGCTGTTAGTCACTGGCTTTCCACCACGGTGGCCCAGGTTCAATCCCAGGTCCGGTCAAGTGGGATTTGTGGTGGACAAAGTGGCTCTGGGGCAGGTTTTCTCAGAGTACTTCGGTTTCCCCTTATTAACCAATTGCTCCACAATCACCCTCACCTATCATCTGGGGCTGGTACAATAGGCCAGAAGTGACCACAGTACAAGGAACTTAGTCCCACACCACTAGCAATAAAAAAAAAAAAAACTGGAGCTTGACAAAGTCAAAAGCAAAATACACTGTACAACTTTCAGATGCGATAAGAGTCTAGCATATTTCTGAAATTCTAGGACAGGGAACAGTTATGACAGCAGCTTGTAGAATTCTGGAATATAAACCCTAAAGATTATTCTTATTCCAAATGAGGCAGATGTGTCTTTCCCTGGGTCTTAGAATTGGGAGAATGAAACTGACCACTCACCTCCATATAACAGAAAAAGAGGCGGAAAGAGAGAAATGGATAGCTAACAGAAACAGCTGATTCTCACGGGGAATGATTCATTACTCAATCAGCCAATCTCTCTCCGGGTGGTGGGGGGTGTAACACGGCAACACGTCAGATGAGACGTTCCTGCCTTAACCTGCAGCAATTTCTGTATCTTCCCTCATTACAGTTTCAGGAAAACAATATGATTAAAAAAATTGCCACCCATTAAAACCACACCTCCTTGCATTTTAATATGCAGACAATTAACTATGCCACCCATTAGCACACCTCTGAAAACAGATCCTCCAAATTCAAGTAACTCTAACCACAATGCTCTTTCCATGTAATTCGTTTAGTGCCTCAGTATTTAGAAGCCGGGATACCACAGTTGGTACAGCTACTGGCTACAGGCCAGACGACCAGAAAGTCATGGTTCTAATCCTTGTAGGGTCAAGAATTTTCTCTTCTCCATGTTGTCCAGCTCTGGAGCCCACTCTGCCTCCCATTCAATGGGTACTGGTGGCTCTTTCCCCAAGGGGACAAAGAGGCCAGGGTGTGAAGCCAACCACTCACTCAAACTAGTGCAGAGGTCACGAACATGTGCATCTCCACATCCACTCCACATACATCTGCATGGAGTAGTGCTTAATTAGATTAGCACAGGGGCAATTTTAACTCACCTTCAGTTAGTACCCAGGTCAAGAAAATGTCGATCTATACATTCACTCCTCCATACGCCTTCATGGCGTAGTGCTTAAGTAGTTAAGCAGAGGGTCAACTTTACATTTTACCTCAGTATTTAGTGTCCAAATACAGTATACATGAAATGGAAGTTATCTGGTGATGTCCTGTTACCGATGGCTACGGCTAGTAAGACTCCATGTCACAGTGACCTTGAAAATTAAAGGATCGGGCGGAAGGGGGGAGGGAGAGAGAATGGGAGGGGGAAAAGAAAAGTCCATGTGATAAAACGAAGGCAAACATCTTAAGCGGCGAAGTTTACAAACATTAGCCACCATTTTAACCTTCAATTTGTACGAAGGACAGAGATGTTTCCTGAGAGTATATGGTGCTACAAAACTTAACAACATTTTGGGATATATATATGCAGTTAACGTGTCTCAGAGACTGACTGCTTGCACTGCTAGCATCAGTGATGCGACATGCTGTATCAGCACAAGAAGTGAAGAAAACGTTTCAGACTGTACTGGTAAAGTTGTCCCTGTGCTTAACTAATTATGCCATTGAGTCGTATTCTTGACCCTGGCAATAGATGTTAGGTGAGTTGTCAGCTTCACACTCTGGCTACTTTACCCTTGGTGAAAAGAGCCCCAGCCAGTGGTTAGTTGCTATACTGTCCGTGTTACATAATGTACTAGTGTCATTCAAAAGGATGGTCCTAAAATTTAAAATGCCTTACTTACTTATGGAGCCGAGCCCTTCTTGAGAAGACAAATCTGCAGCTACTCAATAATTTCGCAGAATTTTTTATGGTACCCCAAGGTTCACAAGATCCCTCCACTGGTTCCTATCCATAGCCAGATCAATCCAATTCACACCATCCCATCCTCACTCTCTACGATCCATTTTAATACTGTCCACCCACCTGCGCCTTGGTCTTCCCAGTGGTCTCTTTCCTTCTGGCTTTCCCACCAATATCATATATGCATTAAAATTCCTATATTTAATAAATATGTAAATTCGGGTTTTTTGTACGTACGGTATATAAAATCAGAACTGTATCTACAAAATTTTTTTTATATTTCCAACTGATACTGGTAACATGAAGCGGCACTTACTATGTGCAACACTTTTCCACTGTGCTACACTGGAAGATCTGCTGCAATATAGAACCCATCTGGCATGCCCATACCCACTCATCTGTTCATCACTTGAAAAGAACCAACAAGACTCAAACCTCTACCTTGGAAACAGGAAGATACAAGGCTGGAGCCTGTTCTCTTCTTCTTCCTGCGCTTGCGCCGTGCCTCCTCCTTGCGCTGCTGCACACTGTTGTGGCATTCATTAGTACCTGTCACCGTCTTATTGTCCCCTCCACGAGTAGACAGAACCTCACCTACAGAACAAATCAAACCACAGCTCCATGAAGTTTGTAACTTATATAACAGTTTAGCATGAAGAGATCATTATTGTTAAAAGCAACATACATGACAAGAAAACGTTTGGCTATTAGCTATATTGCTACTGACAGTTTAACTGGGGTCCTCTCACTACCACAGACCATAAATACGGTATTTTCATTAGAAACGGAACACCTGTATAGCAACACACTACAATACCAAGAACCATGTACTTTCTTTGGACAAGGGACAATTCAAAAAAGTTTCAAATCTCTAACGGAACCTAAGTATTACAAACACACAACGATAAACGTTTTAATGAATAAACTAAGATATAAGTGAAAAAAACTCGACTATTCTTCTAATTTGCATATATGTATAAAACATACTCTAAAGCAGACAAAATATGAACCATGGACTGGGAACGACATGGCACACATGGCTGTTTCAAGACACTCTCTTACCATGTTCCTGTAAGATTCAAGAGAAAACTTATAAGCCCAGTCTCACCTAAAACGCCGGTGGAAATGTGTTAACGTAATTAACTTATACCCCATCATTCATGCATCACTCACGCAACTGCAATCTAGAAATTACATTTCTGCTTAATTTCAAAAATATTTTACGTAAATGGTAATGCGGTAGGACAAAACGAAAACCTATGTATACCAATGAACCCTTCTCAACAATGAAATATCTCTGATTACTTGGGCAAAATTGCGGAAACTGATATCCAAAGTGCGCGCGCCTTGTAACTACAACTAATCATTATCCGTGAGAAGGAATAGCGCAGTCGGTATAGCGACTAGCTACTGGCTGGACGACGACCCCTTCCGAGTACCGGTGGGGACAAGAATTTTCACTTATCCATGTCGTTCAGACCGGTTCTGGGGTCCAGCCAACCTCCTATTCAATGGGTACCGGGGACTCTTACCAGGGGGTAAAGGGCCGGAGCGTGAAGCTCACCTCCAACTAGTTAAACGGTCAAGAAAACGTGGGTCTATACATCCCTCCACCATACATCTTCATGACGTAGTGCTTAATTAAGTACAGGGACAACTTTACTAATCATTATCCACTTACACGCAAAAAAGAACTATGAAAGTACCGCTAGAAAATGACATAATACTACTCAAATAATACTGCTTATGCGCTACAATGTTAAAATGAAAGTGGACTAGTGGTCCGACTTATGCTACGTGTCCGAGCAACAGGAAACCTGGATTCCGCATCCCCCCCCCTGCACACAACAGTATCACAAGCTACCCACACCCAGCAGTGTCTACACACAGCCGGCAAGTCACGCCAGAGTAAACGCAGTAAAGCATGGCGCAAAGACTGAGCACAAACAATACCAGCCGATGTCAGTTTCAAATTCTGCATGGTCATCAGGAACGTTCATATCGATACCAAATCACTTTACTGCATTACATACTGCCATACTTAAATATAAATTCAATCCTAGTTAAAAACAAAACATTCTAGCCTGAAAATAAACTACACATCGCTTTCGTTTTCATTACAGAACTGTCTTGGTCCCGGTTTCGGTTCCTGCAGAAGCTGAAATTGTGTCTTCTCCGGGCCTCTTATCCAATGGAAACCCGGTGGGGGGGGGGGCTTTCAACGCAAAAGTTAACCTCTCACCTGGCTCCCCTGCCCAGAATGCGTGAAGCCTATCTCGAAAACACACTACGTCTTCAGGGTGGGTTGCACAGAAACAATCTTAACTTATAATACCGTGGTTATTCTTTCCTTCTTCCTAAACCACCGGGTGAAACACCTATTCAACGACGAACTTCCTCCATTTCAGTTCTTCGGAACAAACATTAATTTAACACCACTAAAATAAAAATAAGCGACATATCAGTATGTTGCATCAATACACTACACTTCATCTGATATTTCGCTGTATGGGAACACAACTCTTTCACGTTTTCCACTAAGTACAGATCGGCTCCAACCCGGGCCTACCAAACAGGCAGTGGGGACTCTTTGCAAATATAAAGCAGTCACAACTTACCTCATTTAACACAACAGTTAACAATGCGTACAGCGTTACCTCCAAGCATCTAATACATCCTCATGGCGTAGTGTTGAAGCCAAGAGTAACTTTACCTTTAATGGACTAATGTGATTCATTTCTCAGCGTCTTCGTTTCTTCCGTAATATCACAACCAACGCGATTCTTTTTTTTTTTTTTTTTTTTTGCTGANGAAATACCTACACACTAGATTCGGAGCATCTGCTTTTATGCTGGTTTTACGCCAAAATAAGGGATTCAAACTACGTGTAACTACAGTATAAGCGGGAGGAAAAAAAACACTTGGCTATAACTACGCTTAATGCTACAATATTTGTAACTGGGATGGAATTTCATCTTCTACAAAACTTCGGCGTAAGTTACAATGCATTCCAAAACAAAAATGAAATACTTACAACACTCAGTCTCGGACCCTCGCACTTCTTCTAATATCTTCTCAACCATCACTAATGTGTGGGGAAGGGAAACTTTTGACCAAACAGAAATTAGAAACTGGCCCCTTCGAACTACACCGACTGCCTTGTCTTCCAACACACTAACCCATCCGTCCAACTACCACCAACCTTCGCCCTGTTCCAACTCCGACTGCGTGTCTGAACACGTAGCAGCAGTAGATATGGCAGATATTGGCTGCCTCAAAGAACTTAGGTAGAAAAGACATTCACAACGTGACAAGGATAGAGAATTAGAGAATCACGCCATTTCACATCTGTTTGTAGCCAACGACGCGAAATTCACAACGCACTATTTACGTTACGATGAATTCATCATTTGGTTAGCAATAAGAAAACAAGACACAGGCATACGTAATAATTGGTGTATTCTTTATTTTCACTTTTACTACTAAAATTGTTATTTAACATCTAGTGAGAACTGACATAACAAGTCTGGAATAAGACTGAAAAGCGAGGCGATGGCCTATTTTACAATATTGTATCAGAATGCAGGGCTTAGAACTTTGACATCGATTGAAAGCGATACCAGATGTTGCTGAAGTTGCTGAAGGGACTCAGAAACCACATAAGTGAACGCGATCTAAACTAGGGACCTCCAGAATGCGAAATAGTAGTGCTATGCACTACAATATGACAATACGCACGAAAATACTGGTCGAGCAGTGAATCCGTGCAGTCAAATGCTTTAGAATAATAAGAAAAAATGATCGACCTTGATTGTCGAATTATGATAAGTGTCATCTCGTGCAATATAAAACTGCCATCACTCGATAAACGAATTATTCTTTCAGACACTTAAGCTTCGTTGTAATATTTGCTGAAACTAATAAAGGAGTGTGGTTGAATGTAGGGCATTTGCCACGGGCAGGAGAAGGAAGAGAAAAATTTCGTTTAAATCAACCACCTTTAAAGAGACGACAAAAACGGAATGCCTACATTAAAACGGAATTTCAGAAAATAGCAGTTCTGATAGACTTGAGATACAAACGGCGGTGAATTAACTACAGCAGGGCTGTCCAAAGTCAAAGCAATTAGAATGCAAAGTCTACACTTTGGCCGCATTATCATTTTTCCCCTTATATTTTTTTTCACTAGCCCTACAGCCCCCTTGGACCCTGACCTCTGATTTTCAATTTCATGATCATATTACGGACGGTAGGACTCCTTGGACGAATGATCGGCTTGTCGCAAGGCCTCTATCTGAACACAGGACAACACAAAAGGAATAAAAACACACACCAAACATACATGCCTTGTGTGGGATTCGTATGCACGATCCCAGCTGCAGAGCGAGCGAAGACAGTACAGACACCGCTCGGCTACCGTGACCGGCTTTCCCCCCGCCCCTTATACACCGATATAAATATAAACCCCGAATTGATCAGACCAATGAAGTACAGGCACACGAATTAGATATAAACCCATAAGGCTCAAACCATTTCGTTCATTGTAATATACTGTAACATTATCTGAAAATTAGAAGAATTAAACGAATTTGCTTCTGCAAAAACAGAGAAAAGACACCCACTCTGAATTTCTTTCAATGTGAGCCCCGAAGACAACGTTCCCCTTTACAAAAGCAGAGACAGCAAGTCGAAATAGGAAAGAGGTCCATCTGTTAGTCAATAACGTCACAATTCACAATTGATAAAGTACTCTGCATGACTGTATAAGGGGTGGGCGTTCTCGGCCCTTGCACCGCGACCTACAGTGGTCTGTGTGCTTAAGTACTCTGTAAGAAGGTTACGTGCTCCCAAACACGGAAATCATCTTCAAGCCAGAAACTATTCATTTTGGTACTGTGTTTATTCGGGGCACGCGGTAGCGTAGTTGGTTGAGGCATTAAGCTACAAGCAGGAAGGTCAAGGTTTCAGTCCCGATAAAGTCATTGGATTTTTTCAATTGATCTAATCCTTCTAGCCGTATTATGGCTCTGGGGTCGAGGCAGCCTCTAACTGAAATGAGAACCAGGAATCTTCGTGGGGTAAAGGGCGGCCGGCGCGTAAGGCCATCTGTGAGCCGATTGTTTAGATGATGTCGGAGCCTCGGCGTCCCACGACCCTATGGGCCTTCACGGCCTGTTACAGGGATACTCTTAGCGTTTTTTTTTCACTGTGTTTATTCAGAAAATGCATAACTAAAACAAAACTTGCTAACACCTTAAATTCACGTGTTTACTAAGTAACTTTTCATATTATGCAGTGCAATAACTGGTGACAGAATCTGATAATTGCTGACGCAGCATAAGCACGAAAGTAGACACATCACTGTACACTGAGCAACAGCCCGCACCAATATCCCCCCCCCCTTTTTGGACTCCGGCTGCGCCACCGACAGCTGCACGTCCTGTTCTTGTTTTTCCTCCACTGTGGACAGGAAAGGGGAGGTAGCTGCACATCTGGAAAATTCCATAACGGGAGACCCTACCTCTTTCGTAGCATCAGCCCTCGCCACAGGTAAGCTTATTAATGCAAACAGTGCATACGGTTGTGAGATGTCGAGGTTCTCACATTTTCTAGGCAATCGTCTCACAGATGGCGGTAAGGTGGCTGCCGGCCGCCCTTTACGCCCCAGGAAGATCCCTGGTACTCATTTCTGTTATAGGCTGAGTCAACCCCAGGGCCATAGTGAGGCTGGAAGGATTAGGTCAACTGAGAAATCCAACGAACTCATCTGGAACCGAACCCGTGATCTTCCGGCTTGCAGCATAGTGCCTCAACCAACTACACTTCCGCGTGCCAACTGGACACTGGCCTGATAAGCTAGACCATTTATCTGCTCACGGGCGCCTACAGGATTTGTTCGCGGGGGGGGGGGCAACAAATTTACTAACAGCATTACGTTCACGCAGTTCAGAACTGCTTCTACCCATCTCCGTAAAGTATTAAGGATAGAAGAACAGACTACAAGAAAACTTTAAATATTTATTATTATTTTGTATGTTTTTTCTTTCCATTTTGAGTCTTTTCCAAAATCCAGAAGCCTGGGCTGCTTCCATCTACTGGTGCCCCACGAATCCGCCTAATGACAATGATTTTTCTATGGTGACAGCAATAAAACCTTTACAGTGTCATTTCGCTCGCAGAAAGATTATGCAGTTGTATGGGATGCATTGCCGGTCACGGTAACCGAGCGGCCTAAGGCATGCACTGTCTTCGCTCGCTCGGGAGCCAGGATCGTGGGTTCGAATCCCACTCAGGGCATGGATGTTTGTGTGCGTTTTTCTGTGTTTGTGTACAGGTAGAGGCCTTGCGACGAGCTGATCACCCGCCCAAGGAGTCCTACTGCATGTTTAAGATCTAGTAAAACCGAAGTGAACGGAGAGTTTCATGGAGGTAGGCCTAGGCCCAAATGAGGGCTGTAGCGCCAATGAAAAAAAAATAGGATGCATTAAAACATTTGTGCTATCTGATGCATATTAGAAATATACACGCACAGACCCCAGCATTGAAAAAATTCGCAAATGTATCACTCCCTACCCTTTCTTTGCATGGATTTGAAATTTATCTCTTACACTAACAAAAGAAAACAAACAAACATACTAATCAAAATAATAAAAAAAAACAACTTCTCGACTCCTAATGGGCACGACATAAGCATCAATACAATCAAATCACACCAAGTGGCACTGGTTAAGAACTACGATGTGGCCCTGAAGAGGCTAACAAGCTAAAACGCGTCCACCACTTAAGAAAATCGTTGTGATAGGCGTGTAAGGTCATATACAAAAGTAAACATCATAATGTACACCAAGGACATGAATTCAGGCAGGATGACTGTTTTGAGAACGATGTCCTGAGGAAATTATCTGGACCTACGACACGAAAATAACAGAAGGGGGAAAAGTACGTACTGATGAACTTCATAATTTGTGGGACTGCTCTTCAGCAAAGATAGCGACAGACTATGGGTTCGAATCTCGGCATAGACAAGAGATTTTTCTGTTTTCAATAACGTCCAGACCAGCTGTGGGGGCCACTAAGCCTCCTATATATGGGTACCGACACTGCTTCCATGAGGGCAGAGCGGTCGGAGCGTGAAGATGGTCAATCACTTCCATCTAGTGTCGAGGTTAAAAATGTTGGAGCTATACCTCCACTCCCGAATAAGTCTTTATGGCGTAGTGCTTAATTAGTTAAATCCAAGGATAATTTTACCTTTTATGTTACTCTTCAGCAATACTATTAGAATGACAATCAACGTCGGCCTAGCGCGGATGCAGAGAGGAGAAATGAACATAAAATTTTAATTGGAAGACTTGAAAGGGGAAAGAACTGCAGAAAACACGTAGACTGGGGGATGATTTAAACATAGAGCTGAGGCTGTGGAATAGATTTATCTGGTCCAGTACATGGTCTTATGGCGGGTTCTTACGGCAAAGAACGTCCGGCTTCATGAAAAGTTTGGGATTTCGTGACAGCATGACTATCAACTTGTAAAGGACTCTACCCTTGGGGCTTCCTAGTTTCAAAATGCAAAGCTGACGATGCCTTCTTATACCTAGACGATTTACTCGCATTGTGCGTGCTATTGTAATGTTACGTTGATTATTTTTGAGGATTTAAAGACCCGGGAGAGGGAAGGAGGGAGAGAGAGGTTTAACACATATATTCCATAGAATTCTAATTTAGGTGCCTCGTTCTCAAATAGAAACCACGCTGATCTTGCATGCAAAATCTGGTCTGAGCCTCTACAGTGGTGGGTAAAAAGTAGCAACGAATTGCTGAATTAAGTTCGTTCTTGGCTGAACTCCATTCCATCGCTTTGAAATTAAAGAGAAATAGAGAATGTTCAACCCCTATCATTCATACTGGTACGAGTTATGTAAACAAGGGGTCTGAATATAGATTTCATAAGCTGTTCTTTGCAAGGCACGTTTCATTTATACCCTTCTGGAGTCAAATTCGATACATTTCAGAAATTTCGCGAGTCTAGGTGTACGCTTCTTTATTTAGAGCGGTCATACGGGTTTATTATTATTATTATTTATTTTTCACAACCAGTCTTGAATCAGTGGTACCTCCATAATGTTTTAATTTACAGCTGAACTTCAAGGACTCCAGCACCGATACACCTCGAAGTTTCTGTAAATTTCTGCATCAACGTTACAGTTAGTTCACGTGTTTCAAAGATTTCACATGGAAAGACATTT